GAACACTCTGTAGACATCTAAGTCCATTCATTCAAAAGTTTGTTTCATTCAAAAGTTTGGTTCAGTTCTAATATTTCATTGTCAATTTCTTTTGTCTACTTGATTTTTTTGTCTGTCTTTTTGTGACAGTGGGGTATTGAGATCCCCCAATACAACTGAATTGGTGCTCATTTGATTTTTCATGTCCATTAATATTTGTTTTATATAGATGGGTGCACTGGTAATTGTTACATATGTATTTATGATTGTTATCTCTTCCTCTTGGATTGTTTGCTTTACAAGGATGTGGTGACCTTCTTTGTCTCTCTTAATCAGTCTTGGCTTGAAATTAACTTTGTCTGCAAGTAGAATAGCTACCCCTGCTTTTTCTGAGTTCTTGTTACATGGAGGATTGTTTTCCACCCTTTGACTTTCAGTCTATGAATTTCTTTTTTAGTTAAATGTATTTCTTGCATGCAGCATATTGCTGGATCTTGCTTCTTTATCCATTCTGCCAGTCTGTGTCTTTTGATTAGTGAATTGAGACCATTAACATTGATGGTTATGCCTCATATGTACTGACTTATCCTTGTCATGTTATTTTCCTGTTGTCAGCTCCTCCCTTTTTTCTACCTTCTGTTTCATTATCTGCCTTGCCTGGGATTCCTTCTGTTGGTGTTCATATAGTTGTAGTCCTTGTTATCTCTTCCTAGAATGTCCTTCAAAACATTTTAGAGAACTGGTCTCGTGGTCATAAATTTCCTCAGATGTTCTTTGTCATGGAAGTATGTCATTTCTCCATCAGTTTTGAAAGATAGTTTTGTGGGATACAGCAATCTGAGTTAAAGGTTGTTTTCCTGTAGAGTTTGACATACTTCACTCTAAGCTCTCCTTCACTTGAGGGTTTGTGTTGTGAAGTCAGGTGTGATTCTGATGAGCCTTCTTTTATAGGTGATTTGTTTCATTTCCCTAATACCTTTTAAGATTCTATGGTTGTGCTGAATTTCTGGAATCTTGACTGGGATATGCCTGGCTGTAGATTTTCTTTTTGATCATGTCTAATTGGAGTTATACAGGCCTCACTTATCTGTATGTCAATTTCTTTTTCCCTACCAGGGAAGTTTTCTGCCATGACATCTGTGAACAGTTTTTTTTTTTTTTTAATATGCTTTGTGCTACTTCCTGCTTTTTCATTGATATCAATCAATTTTAAGTTATTCTTCTTTGCCTCATCTGCAGCTGCTGGACTGATTTTTTTCATGGTTCTTTGGTATTTTTAAGAAATCTTTCTTTCCATGATTGCTAATCACAAGCCTGTCTTCTATATCTGAGATCCTGTCCTTACAATGGCTTATCCTGCTGTGGATACTTTCAATGGAAGTTTTATTCTCCTGGATACCTCCTTGAATCAACCTTATGGATTCTACTTCTTTCCTATGCTGAGCATTCATGGCTTCCATAATTTTCTTAATCTCCTCTATTTTTTCTTATCTGTATCTGCTCAAGAGTCACTAAGCATGGTTTTCATTCTCAGATAACCATCTCAGCAGTTATCTGAGAAATTATTTCTGATTTCATTTTTTTTCTAGAGCCTCATTCAATTGCTTTGCTGTTACCACTTCAGAGAGATCATGTGGGTGGCTTTTGTACTGTCCCACCTCACAGCCCCCTGGGTTTGCCTTTGGTGAAGTGGATGTCTAGGTTGCATCTTGGGTAAGTGTCTTATCATTTTCTTTTCTTTTCTTCCCTTCTTTCTTTTTTTGAAGTTTAATTCCTGGGGTGATGCTTGTAAATTGCCCATGGTGGGTTGCTTTATTGCTAATATTTAGAACCCTTAGGAAATGACTATTTGTCCAAGGTATCTTCCAGGTGTATCTGGTTTTTGGATTTTGAGTCTGTTGCAAGATCCTATATCTTCAATTTGTTGGGGATGAGAAGTTGCTACCTGTTTGGTCCAGCCCCTGGTTCTTTGGCACTGTGCCACAGTATTTTGTATGACGTTTAGTCAACCTCAGTCTTGGAGTACCAGGAAGAACAGCTGTTTAGAACAATTATGTTACTTTTGGCTAAAGTGGTACCATCAGCAATAACAACAGTACCAAACACAGCCTAGAAAATGACGAACTGAGATGACCATTAATTTGTCCCACACAGTTAAAGCTGTGTGAACTAGATTTGTGGTTATATGACAAAACCTGAAACAAACTAGAAAATTATATGTGGTATATAAGTCCTTAATATGTCAATTTTTTCCTCAGAGGTTAAAATTTAAAGGGGGTTAAGGAGAAAATAGAGAAGTAGAAAAAGAGGAAGATATTAGAAGTAAGGCTGGAGGACAAAGGTGGATCACGCTAACTTTGGTAAGCTGGTGCAGAAGACTGGAGGGAAAGGGAAGAAAGAGATAAAAAGAACAGAACAGAAGAAAAATCACAAAGAACAGAAGAAAAACCACAAAGAGGCTAGAAAGCACATTCACACTCACGTATAACAAGATCAAACAAGAAAGGAGAGAAAAAAACCAAACCAAACCAAACCAAACCAAACCAAACCAAACCAAACCAAAACAGAAAAACACCACCACCGCAACAAAACAAAGGAGAGAGCGAGTGAAAGAAAAAAGTTTACTTCCAGGTTTGTCTCTGCTGTCATTGGTAGACAATGTGTGGAGACAAAGTTCAGAACTGTGTTGATTTATCCCCGCAAGCTAGCAGTTAGCTTTTTGGTGGGGTGGTGGATAATCTCAGTGAGCCTGTACCTTCTATGGGCCTCAGCCCAACTGGGAGCCACTAGATGGAGCCAGCAGCAGCTATGAGTTCTGAGCTCAGCTGGCCCCTCTCCAAGATGGCTCTCGGCCAATCATTCTCTTTTGTGAGACCACTAAGCCCTCAGCACTGACCACCAGCTACTGCAGTCTTTCATATCCACTGCTCCCCTTCACTGCTATGTTTCTCCGTGGAGGCCTCTGGGGTCGTCAGTAGTCACCCTGTGACCATGGGTTTGAACTGCTCCTCTCGCACAGTGAGTCCCATCTCAGGCAGAAGGTGCCACCAGTTACCTCCTTCTTTGTTGAAGTTTTTCTCTTCTCTCTCTCTGTGGGCTTCAATTAGGGCTTCAGATCCTTCCTGTGTTCAGGGGACCCACTTCCCTACTTGTCTTCTTTGAGTGCTATATTCCAGTGTCTGGACGGCACCTCTCAGGCTCTTTCTCTGCTGCTTACCACTCACCATCTTGATGCTCCTCCTAATATTACTTTCACAATGTAACATAATTCTGTTTCCTGTATCCTTGGGAGAAACCCCATGTTTCTGCCTTTTCTTTGAGTTCCTTCTTGTGAGGGCAGCATTATGGCACTTACTAGACATGTGACCATGACCATTCTAATCAACAGTACACCTGAGATGCAAAGGTATCAGCCATCCATGAGTGCTCCAGTTTTTGTGCTAGTTAACTGTGTCCACATGCCTCGGGACTCAAGGAAGATGGGATGTAATCCCCACTTCATTTAAAAATGTACGAGTTTAGCTAGGTGTGGTAGCATGTGCTTAGAGTCCCAGCTCCTCAGGAAGCCGATGCAAAAAGAGCACCTGCACTCAGCAGTCTGAGATCAGCCTGGGCAACACAGCAAGACGCCATCACAATGGCAGGGGGAGGGGTCTGTTCAAGTGAAACAAGACACAAAATATTAAACTGATTGAAAATATAGTTTATGGGCTAGAAAATGCAAGAGCCAACAAGAGTAACTTAGAATGATTTAGGGAAAGAAGTAAGAGTCCTCTATCTTAGTTTCAAATACTTGGTAGAGGTATCCAGCCTATACCATCTACACTGTGGCAGTCTTTAGAACATTTCTTAGGGTCACTGCTAGCTCTTTCTCCCCAAGGCCTTTTTTTCCTACGACATACTCTGTAAGATCTTGCTGAGGTGGACAGCATTGAGGATGTTAAAAGTACCTGCTTTACCAAGAAATAGACTGTATTCTTGCTGCCTGACTGGACCGGTCATTTCTTTCACTTTCTGACAAGCTTATTACTTTCATGTCAACAGGGCTTAATCTATAAACATACATACACACATGCAACTCTAGTTTTTTAGGTTAAACATTTCTTAGCCTAGATGAGTTTCTATCCTTGATCACCTACTACATGATCCACATCACACTCCAGAACCCACCAGTAGAAAACAGCATAGAACATCACTCAAAACACCAAGAGGAAAGGGCACAGCTTTTTAATACTGATTAACAGAAGCCATCAAAACCTGAGATCAAACAGCTCCTAATAGTGGAAAATAAGACACTCACCTGGGATGAGGGTTAAAGGAGATGATAAGGATAGGGAGGGAATAGAAGTGCAGAGGGGGAGTGGAAGGAAGGAGAGGTAGTCCGTCTTGGGAAAAAAGAACAATCAGTGTCTTTCACCTGTAAGCTCTGACTTAGAAAAGACTTCACAGAATTTCCAGTCTGCCCAGTCACTGTACTAATGCGTTGAAAGCTGTCTCTCAGAATGCGTGTTTGTTCAGACTCCACGTGGAGCCAGAACTCTTCCCTTTACTGGTAATGAGGCCTTGTTCATTACTTTTTACTTGTTAAGGGCTTTTATGTCGGGGGCTTTTCATAATGTATGAAAATTACATTTAGATTTCTGAGAAAGCCTGAATCATCAAAAAAACAACTTAAATACTTAGTCTTAGTTATACCTTACATAATCTCAACCTATGGAAAGGAAGGCAAAATGTAAACAATATATGTTTTTTTCCACCAGCTCTCTTAGTACTTAAAGGAGGGTAACAAACGTGTTGAAAATATGCAGTAGAACATTTCTTGTGATATTATCCTTCTTCAGTCACTTGAATTCACTCTCTAAGGCTACAGCTAGGAAACTACCTCTAAAAACATCATTAAATGGTAAGTGTCCATATCCGCAAGAGAAAAGAAACACTGGAAAATGAAAGATGAAGTGAAAGGCAAATAACCAACTCAAAGGCATAGCTATAGTGAGGTGAAAAGAAATTTGATACTATACTTTGGTTTTGCATTTTTGTATTCTTCAGTGTCTGTGTCCTCATCCTCTGAGTACCAATTATCTCCTCTTCCTCCAGCCAAGAGGCCCCTGGCAGCCAACAGTCCCGCAGCGTTCCCATAGCCAGTGTATTTCAGCAGGCTATCCACTGTGACAAGAGAATATAGGGTTTTAGACAGAGGAATCTCTGGGTACTCACAAATCATCAACCACACATCAACACAGGGAGGTACAAGACACCTGCCAACCAGTAAGCCTTTAAACAGATGTTTTCAAAGTGTGCTGTGGATACGCTGAACCACTACAAATTTTTCTACATGTTCAGAGATCGCAGGGCCATGTGTGAGTGTGCATGTGATGACAGAATGTAAACAGCGCTGTTCTGAGTATACCTTTGACAAGAGCTGGGCCTCTGTCACTGCCAGGTAATTGATAAGGGTCATGTTTTAAGTTTCTGACTGCTAATATTTTTTTAAAACTCAGTTTTACAGAAATAATAAACTGAAGACAGTGAAGGTCAGATTAGGATTTTTCAGGAAGGTATATAATGGAAAATCTTTTACCATTTGTAGGAATTAGGGGGGAAAGGAATGAGAAATAAGCAGCTTCACCAGCAAGATAAGCTAATTTTTTAAAAGTTCGCAGTAATACATCAGCACATGAAGCCCACTGAGAAGACAGGCCCAGAATTTAGTCTAATTAGGTTTTTTTTTTTTTTTTTTTTTTTTTTTTAATAAAAGGAAGAAAACATTAACAGACAGACAACATTTTACAAAATAGCAAAGGAACAGTACAGACAGTATGGAGTTACAAACAAAGCGGTAGGGAATCAACAACGCTTGTTGTATTACATATTGATATCTTCAAAGTGGTTTCTTATTAACTAGGTTTCAATAATGGCTCTACCACTTACTAGCTGATTGCCCTTGGGTAAAATATTTTGCAGTTCTACCCACACTTTCTGATCTGTAGAAATAGAGTAACTTTCTACTTCACATATTAATATTTGCAAGGTTACTTAAAAAGTATCTGGCACAAAATAAACACTCATTCTTTTTCTTTGGTAATACTGGTAAAATGATTATTTAGGAAAGAAGAGAACCCAAGGAAGCATTTGGTGCAGGTCCTTGGTAAATATTACCTTGCCAACAGCATAAGGTGATACCTCTGAAAAGAGCTGACACATAACATTTTATGAAAGAACCCTGTACTGTAGAGATTTTGTTCAGTGATTTCTAAACATCATTAAGGAAGATACTAAGCAATAATCACCAGCTTTATGTAGGAGTGCTTCCCTGTCTTCAGGTACAATTTCAAGGTGAACACTATGTTTATTCAAAAGATAAAAACTGGAAAAATTTATGTAAGGCCTCTGATAGAATGTTATTAAAATGTCCTGGGACAATCATAGAAAACAACAAGCTATCTTATATAAAGCCACAGCTAAAACACTGTTTTAATTGAGATCACTTACCCCAAAAAGACAAAATAAGGCTGGAGAAGATTCAGAGAAGGGCAGCTGCAATGACTTTAGGAACGTGAGAGGGGCCGTGAACAGGGGAGCAGGAGACTAACGAAAGGGAGTATACTTGTATACACATACACATATGATCAGAGAGGGAAATCCTGAAGGGCATGGACCACATGAATATTCCAGGACAATTTTTTGTGAAATTTTCAATACCTGAACTACAGGGTACTGAAGATACCTTTAACACTGGAGGACAGGCACTGCAGGACAACAAAAGGAAGCCTTCCTTTAAAAGAATATAGCAGACTGAAATGTGTGCAAAAAGAAATATGGGTAATAATATAAATGAGATTTAAATCAGATATTTCAATTTTAAGACCTTCAGTAACTGTGGTTTCTGGCAATAATTCTCAGTGGATGCTGGATAGGATTGTATCAGAATGTAATGAGAGATTATGTAACTTGAAAATCCTCTGAATAACTCTGACATACTCCTTCTTGCCACCAGTGCCTCCTCAGATGAAGTATTTAGATAAATTAAGGAAACCTTAATGAGTTATCGGGAAGAAATGAGTTTTCAGTGCATACAGGTATTTTTAATATTCTCATCACGGGCAGGCACAATGCCATGGAGAAGGAAGGATCAGAGCTCTAAACCCACACCATACCAACACACTTGTTACACGCATTACTGAGAAGGCTTATTTTGAATTTTTTTTGCACTTGGTGTTGCACCCCAGGCTTACTATTATCAGTTTTAATAAAGATATTTAGCAAGTTCCAGAAAAATATTCACTGAAATTACTAAAATCTAAATTGAGATGATGATAAATGGCTTAAATGAATACATTTAATCACAAAGCACTGTAAAATGACAAAATGACCAAAGATTAAGATAGCTGAAGGTGAAGGAAGGCCCAGACAGGTGGGAGAAAAGGAAATACAGTACTGAACAGCAGCTGTCTTATGCAGAAAACCTCTCCTTTTATGAAAATAACATTCATCACTCTTTCACTGGAACAAGCACGTACCAACTCTGTGACAGACAGTGTGGGTTACAAAAATGATTTAAGACAAACTTTGCCTTCAAAACAGATAAAGGTTTAGCCAACAGTTTCAAAGTCAAATGAACTTTCGCTAAGTGGATAAAATACCTAAAATTGGAGGGTAGAGAAGGGGAGAGGATTGGAACACAAAACCCTACCAGGAAGCACGGTGCAGCATCTGAAGCTACTTTTTAATCTATTTTCAAACACATCACAGAATAGCCGGTTTGACGCTGGGAGGGAAAAAGGAAAGGGGCTGAGCCTGACTGCTCTGGAGAGCTGCCAAGGTGAAGAGAGCATTTTCCGGCGGCCCTTACTAGACACACACACTTGTCCTCTGTCATACTGATCGCACACACTTACGTGA